TTCCGAAAATAGAGATCCTGCTGCCTTACCCTCCCCTTTGCAGAGCGTCGAGCCCCACCAGGAAAAAGTGCTACATAAAAGCCAGGCGTTAACTCCAATAGGTTAGAAAGTCAATGGCATTGTTTGAGATCTAAGCAAAAAAACCACTTTGAAACCTCAAAAATTAGGGTTTTTGGAAGCAATTATCTCCCCTCTCCGTCTCAGACTAAAGAAACACGGGGCCAATTATTTCTTTGAAGGCTAAATATTTACTTCTAGATGAAGCGCAGCAGCTCAGGCTGGAGAGGAATTATCCAGCTCCAATGTCATCTAATGCCTGCGAGTAAGAAAACCCAAACGAAAACAGGTACGAACAAACAACAAAAAAGGGTGTTTTCTCCTGGAAAAGCCCTTCAGAGAAGAGAAAGGGATGAAGCTGTTTCAGCTCACCAGAGCCATGTCCAAGACATTTAGCATGGCCCTGGCACCACGCTCCCGTTCCCTTTAGGTAGCCCTACCCACGTCTCATCAGATAAGATCACAGAATTATAGAATGGTTTGGGTTGGAAGGGACCTTAAAGATCATCTAGTTCCAACCAAGATGCCCGCGCTGAACGAGGGCACGAGTAGAGCACGGTCAAACCTCTCCAAGCAAGAGCTGGCCTTGTGGAAAAGCCACCATCATCTTCTGGAGGTGGACCTACCCTATAGAGTCCATAGGGTCAGGGGTGGGAACGCCTCCTCAACCACTCACGCATCGAGCGTCAATCAATCAACGTCAGCTCTTCCTTTAAAAATAAAAACCCACCCTCCTGCCTTATTTACATCTGACTCCTGAGTTTCAAAGCTCTCTGCTTTCGCCCCCTCCAGTCACTATTCTTTCCCAGGCAGCGGGTGCCAACCCTCTGGTTAAAGGCACCAAAAAAAAAAAAAAGGAACTATGTGTAAGAAACCACCACCGGCACAGCGCGGGGTGACTCATCTCCTCTGCAGAGCGAGGAACAAGAGCGCTCTCTGTTCGGCCAGACTGCCTGAAGTTTCAGTTGCGATCCCATCTCGCTACCCGCGTTCATGACAGCGCGGAGAAATATTTCCTCGGGGGATCTTCCCATGGGACTTAACTCCGCCACGTATTCCCACAGGACTCATTCTTTTAGAAGTGTGATTTGTTAGTAAGGCGGCGGGAATTCGCCTTTGCGAAACACCAAGGGAGCGACGGAGATGCGGAGCCGGGTGCCGGCGGCTGGACTCGACCGCGAGTCGTGCCCCGCATTCAATCCGACGGAAGGACTCGTTGGGCTGCAAGAACACACGTCCTGGGTCAGAGCGGAGATCGGCATCGCCCCGTATCCTGTTTATGCTCCCATGGCCTCTTCTCCACCCCTGAGCAGAGGGAGAGCGCTACAGCAGGGAAGGAGGAAGAGAGAGAGCCAGTTTCCACATATGTATAGACTGTGTTTTGTCTTCTTCCTCCATTTTAAGTCCACGACTGCTTCATTCTCACCTGCAGGCATCATACAGTGGATGTGCAGACACGAAAAAATCATATTTAAGTATTAAATGTTGCATAGACTGATATCCAGCAAGCGGTCACCAAGCACCAAGTTCCGCGCTAACGTTTCAAAGCGACATCCAACCGATTCCCAGATAACTTTGGGATTATCCTCCTGGATTTTGGAGGACTTCATACAAGAAAAAAGCGTCAGACCAAAAAAAAATGACTTTAAACAGTAACAGAGTAAATCCACAACACTTAGAGCACACGAAGCAGGGTCAGAGGGAGTCTGTGGCCAAGCAGCCAAATCAAGGGTGGATGCTGAGCTCCTTTTCTTCTTCCTACTCTTCCTTAAACGTAAAGTTTTTTGTAAAACAGCTCGTTTAATACTGACTTTCCCCCCTCTTCCCCCTTCTCCTTTTGTCCTTCCCTCTTTTCATCAAAATGTAAAGCTCTGGCTGAAATGGCTAGCTTAATACTGACTGCCCCCCAAGAGCTGCCCCCAATTCTTCTGCTTTTGTCGAAGTTATTTTAGTCAAATTCAGAAATACACAGAGAACAAGCATGCCGTGTGTGACATTTTGAGTACAAAAACCGGTGTGGGAAATCATTTGTGGCGTTTTCCTGCCCTGCTTGGAGCACGTGGACTGCAGGAATGTACCTGTTTTCCCACGCTCTCCTGGTTGCTGTGGGTAGCCCGCACGGGCATGTCTCCTCCACTCCTCAAAATACCTCAAGTGATAGCTACCAAAGTTATTAAAAAAATAAGAATTTCAGCTCTGGGACAACAATTCTCATCAATACAGGCTCTTGTGGCTGCAGGTACGTGGGATGAAACAACACTGAGCAGCTGTGACAAAGAGAAACAACTCAGCACGGTGCCGCAAGCACGAGAACATGCATGTTCTGTGGAAAAAAACCCCAAATATAACCTGAAAACTGGTCAGATAATGATAAAACACGTGGAGAAATACAGAATCAGACCGGCCAGCCCGGTAAGGTAAGGTAAATTTTGGGGGCAAGGTAAATTTTGATAAAGTGGTGAGGGAGATGCCAATCTACCACCTTCTCACCTGATGCCAGGGGACGGATCCACTCCTTGCTATTGAGGTCGAGTCTCCAGAGGTCGTTGAAGGCGGCGTTGCAGCTGCTCTGCGTGCACCCACCGAACACGTACATCGACTGGTTAGCGTCATAGTAACACGCACCTAGGAAAAAAGCCAAGAAAACACACGCACAGATTAGCCAAATCACTGACCTTTGCGTTTTTGGGTGAAAAAAAAAAAAAAGATCATTTTCTTTCCCCGCTGGGTTTCAGACAGGAGAAAAGCAGACAGGCTGCCCTGATTTCGGTAAAACCATGAGGCAGCTTAGAGGTATCCCTGACCAGGGTAAACCTCCAGCAAGAACCTTCCGAGACAATTATCCCCTCAAGCAGAGCTGCTCCTGAAAATGCAAAGAAAGCTGCCTTAGAAGCTTGCAGTTAATTAGCTTAGCTCCGATTAACGCACTCAGTACACTTACCTTCTCTAAGCTACTCCGTAGGGTTTACAGGGTTGCCAAATCAGACTAAGGAACTGTCCTGCCTACCCAAAACTGATCGCTCGTTCCCTTTTTCCAAAGCTGACAGTGTTTCACCCGATCTCGTCATAGAAAAGCTCCTCTGAAACTCACGGATCTCACATGAGCATCCCCTTCGGTCCTTACGGGAAAGGATCGGGCAGCGAGATGGGGAACAGGGAAGGAACACGATGCTTGACATCTGCTCAGAGATGCTCAGGGAAATAAAGAGCTTTTGGCCTCAAACCAAACTGTGCTGAAAAAAAAAAAAAATAAATGCAAGTGTATATATTTGGCAATTAGCATCCTGTGGTACCCAGGCATCTCTGAGAAGTAAATTGAATACAAGATAGAGCAGACAGGACTCGCTCCGCCTCTCTGCCTCGGAAGACAAGCAAGATTCGGACATGTTCAGAAAGTTAAACCCCTGCGATGACAAAGAGGATTTCCCAAAATCTGCATTTCCCTCCTCAAACGTGAGTAGCCCCGGTGACTTCGTACGAGGGCCCCTCGCCTTCCACCTTCTCGACATCCCTGCAAGGCAGCAGCACCTCTTCCCCGCCTCGCCCAACTCACGAGAAGCGGAACGAGGGCCCAACGGCGACACCGGAGAAATGAACTCATCCTTCGGCATCAGCTTCGATAGACAAACTCATGCCAGCTCCTAAAAATTTGGGATTGAGGAGGGAAGGCTGCGACTTCAGCTCCTGGGCTGGTCTGGGCGATCAGGTTCTTCTGCATCCGCAACCTCCGATCGGCCGGGCGCTGCCTGCTCCGCTGACCCCTGCACCACAGCGAGGTGTTTAAATCCAATCCTCTCTTGACCCCCTGAAAAAAAACCTCAATTTTTGGCTTTTCTGTAAAATTCTTCCTCCAGAGCTTTAGCAAAAATGAAAAAGGTGTATGGTGTAGCTGGCAGGAAGGACAAGCTGGTTTCGGAAGCCTTCATCTGTCTGTTGGGATGTTGCTCTGTCACTGCATCTCCCAGGATATATTCAATGGTCTCCAACCATCAGGAATTGTGCAGCCCATGTACAGACATTCCCAAAACACCAAATCCTTCGTGCAGTCCCTTAGCACTGGCCAGGGCAGCACCAGTACTCGTCTCGAAGACTCGCTGCCCGAATCCCGCTCCGAACCCAGCCATCTCTCTCTAAATCCCAACTTCACACACAAGTGTCCTCAAAAAAAAAAAAAGCCATAAAAAGCTAATATCAACCCTCTCAACACGAGCAAAGCCTCTCCAGCAATTCCTCAAATGTTTATTATCAAGTCTAGTGAAGGGAAAAAACGCAATAAATCATATCCACACACACCATGTGCCAGTGGGGAGCGGAAAGCTGCAGTGTTTTATGCTCTGGGAACACCGAAAGGTACCAGCCAGCGCTCGGAGGGCGCAGACGTCATCGCCCTCGCGACGACAAACGATATATTGCCCGACACGAAAAGGAAGAGGAAAAGTCAAAGTTCAGGCGTCCGGCCCTGGGTCCGAGACAGAGGTGAGAAGTGCCTGTGATGATGCAGGAGCGTCTCCAGGTCCAGGACCACGTCGCCGTCGTAAATAACCAGCCCGAGGGACGCGACGAGGCGAAGGATTAGCACAGGAGTACGGCGGCTTTCATGTTTGCGCCGTGCCAAAGCCAAGAGCGGAGGCAGACTCACGGCAGGGGCACGAGTTGCACCGTTCCTTCCCTCTCTCTCTCCATCACACGTCGTAAACAGCTGCTCATCGGTCAAAAAATAAAAATAGATTGAGACGAGCTGACCTGATGGGTCACAGGACTACTCCGGAGCTTGTGCCAACATAAAGGCTTTTTTCTTTTCAAACCAGCAGCAAGAAGGAAAAAAAAACACCTAAAAAAAGGATTATCTGGAGTAAAGAGATAACCTACTTTTGGCAGCACGAGAAAACGATTCAGAGCAAAACTCCCACAAGAAGACGTCCCTGCTTCCAGCTTCGCTCTCGATCAGCACAAGCACGTCCCTGGTTTCCAACGATCCAACGCCGCAGCCCTAATTTCACAGCTGAAGGTACGGATTCCCAGCGGGAAAGAGCTCTTTAACACAGCCCCCCCACCCATGCTGACTATATCCATCTCGCCGTGAAGCGGCGCGTTCGAGCGCCCACAGACAACAGTGTGGCTCAGCGGGGGCCGCGACGATGGCCGGTGGCCTTGGCCGAGGGTCCCATGGTCTGACCTGGGGCTTGTCATGCAGATCCCCAACTGAAAAGCCAAAAGCCCTTATGCCCTTGGCTTCTAGTGGCAAGCGTGGGATGCTTTGCTGACCACACAGCAGGAGCTGGAGATACAGGGATGTGCTCGTAGGGTGAGACCACCCAGCTCTCCCCGTCTGCGTCCACACGACATCCTTACGTGTGACTGAACTGTCTTCATCTCAGTCTACGTCTTGCCAAACCGTACCAGTCTGGGGTGGAGGATATATAAATAGTGGCGTAGTGGATTTACCTGCGATGGGATCGAGCGACAAGTAATGATTAAAAGCATTTAAGCACAAGTACAGGCTGGGCGGAGAATGGATGGAGAGCAGCCCAGAGGAGAAGGACTTGGGGATGTTGGGTGAGGAGAAGCTCACCATGAGCCGGCACCGTGCGCTGGCAGCCCAGAAAGCCAACTGTGCCCTGGGCTGCATCCAAAGCAGCGTGGGCAGCAGGGCGAGGGAGGGGATTCTGCCCCTCTGCTCTGCCGTCCTCAGACCCCCCTGCAGTGCTGCGTTCAGCTCTGGGGTCCCCAAC